TGAAGAACCTTTTGAAGCACCTTTATTTTTAAGAGTGTAGTGGAGAAGGGTGAAGGTTTTACAATCTGTTGATCCTCTCTATATAGTGAGCAGTAAAATAGCACAAGATCTAATTTTCCCTTCAATGCACGTTCTAAGTGAACACAACAGCACTGTAAAGTGGAATGATGGTAACAAACTGTGCTCCTTATCCACTGATGTTCTCTACGCTTATAAGAATTATTCATTCTGCAATTACAAGGTGTTTCTAAAAAGATCCTGATTGTTTTCACTCTGATATAACAAGAGGGTGTAATTCCCCGATATACTGTGATTTACTGGAAACTGCTGTTTCTGTAAAAGTCGTCTGACTGCGGAGAAACCAGCCTTCATCCACTTCTTGTAAAAATTCCACTTTCATTCTTCACATTTTTTCAAAGGGTCATAAATTAGTTATTTTCAGTGATGCATACACCCCCAGGCCTGAAATTATGTTAACAGAAGAATCTGTAAAGATGGCTGACTGTTCTGGTATTATAAGTATGAATATAAGTGTTGACTGTACATACTGTTTTTCTCACACTGTGATCATATAGAGGTGCCTCTGTAAATTAGAATAATGAAAGTACATGCAGGTCTTTTCTCTGACCATTAGATAAAGCACCATCAACTCTTTCATGAACAGGGCAATGCAATGTCAGTGCAGAGCATTTGGTCTCGGGTTTTTATTATAAATACTTCCTTTTTTTTTTTTTTTAAGTTCAGTGCATTGCATAAACTATGGCAGCAAGTTTCCGCCACTGAATAAAAAAATACAATAAAAGGGGGGGGGGAGGTAATTGCAATTTATCACACAATTCTGACTTGTTTCCCTCACGATTGAGTTTACATCTCGCGAATTTAAAATTTTCTCAGAACTGCAAGATATAAACATGCATTTGCAAGTTACAAAGTCAGAATTGTGGGATATAAATGCACAATTCTGACATTTTTTCCTCGCAATTGAGAGTTTATATCTCGTAATTCTGACTTCTTTTCTCAGAGTTGTGAGATATAAATTTCCAATTGTGAGTTATAAAGTCCAATTCTGAGGGGAAAAATACTTTATTAAGTCTTTATTAAGGCTTTATTTCTCAGAATTGCGAGTTTATATCTTGAAATTCTGACTTTCTAACAGGCAGAGACTTAATATCATGAAAATATGACAATATAACAATTGTGAGTTTATGTCTCACAATTCTGAGAAATAAAATTCAGAATTGTGAGATAAAAAGTCACAATTTATTAATTTTTTTATTCAGTGGTGGAAGCAAGCTTACAAAATAAACTACTGGTTCAGCGCAGCACATTTGTATGTTCCCATCTGAATATTCTGGATAAAACATAGAAATCATTATGTTTAAAGACAGATGTGTTAGTCAGTGATCTGTTTTCACAATATCCCAGTTAAGTGAACGCAGGTGAATTTTTAACAAGTTCACTACTTCCAGTCCAGATGATGGATCAGCACCTAGAGATGCATTAAGCAGATGTTACAATTTATGAAAAACATAATAATTGCAATTAAAAAAAATAGCACAGACCCTACCAAAATCTAACATTCACAGTCATTTAATAGCAGTGACTACAAAAACACATGAAGAGACAGCAAGAAAAAACACTGATCACTGGATTTGGTCCCAGAAAACATTTTACATGTCTCAAGTCAGCACAGACCCAACCAAATGTGCCGTTCACACACATTTTTATACATTTAATCCACAATCCATCTCCATATACTGGTGCTATATTAAGGATTTAATGTACATGTCTGTTACTGCTAGATTTAGTAGGAACTTTGTCACTTCGGTCACACCAGTAAAAGAGAGAGAGTGTGTGTGTGTGTGTGTGTGTGTGTTTCATGATACATGTATGAATTAAATTATGAAGAATGATGGATTGGAGTTTTTTTTGTGTGTGTGTGTGTGTGTGTGTGTGTGTGTGTGTGTGTGTGTTGTACGTGCTTCTGATGGGAACATGTCCCACCCACATCCGCAAAAGACACCTATGAAGAGTTCAAGATAAGCCTTTTTTTCTGAAAAATATGAGTCAGAGATAATGGGAGTGGCAGGTGCAGAAAACTCTTGATAAATGCAGTGGTTCTTGCTTTCCATCGCATCAGAAAGCTGATAGTCGAGAAACAGCAGTCAGATCACAGAGCAGAGCAGAAGGATGAAGTTCAACAGCGCTTTGAGTGTTGCTGCAATCACACTTCTCTACATAACAGGTAAGAGCTTACAAAAAGCCTATACAACATATCAGAATCAGATGTACATTTAATAATGTTTGTTTCAATTGTTTATTACCTGACAAGCCATTTATTTCCTAAGGACCTTTGTAAACACACTTAACAGTTTTATATTTCTCATGACTGTAAAAACCATTGAAACTAAAGACTGACCTAATTTAGTTAATAACACCATTATTCAGCTGAAAGATTTTATCTTTCTGAAATAGTGTGTGTGAGCTACACAAACCAGTTTATCAGCTCTGTCTGGATGATTGTCTGCTTACTTTCTCTTTGTCTGTCCACACAGGATCGCTCTGCCAGTTAGATGGTAAGTTGTCTCATAATGACCCTAAATCTCTTTTATGTATGGGGCACTTTTTAAGAAGGAAATCCAACATCTTGCTTTCTCTCATCAGTATGTGGTCGAGCCCCTCTCAGCAACAGGATTTTTGGAGGGGGGGATGCAAAAGCAGGTGATTGGCCGTGGCAGGTCAGCATTCATGTCGTCGGCTTTGGCCATAACTGTGGCGGGACCAGCTACAGGTGGAGAGGAGAGAGAGATAGAGCCAATTCAGTGGATGGGGATAATTAGGAGGCCATGATAGACATGGGCCAGTGGAGGGAATTTGGCCAGGACACCGAGGATACACCCCTACTCTTTACGAGAAGTGCCATGGGATTTTTTTAATGACCACAGAGAGTCAGGACCTGGGTTTAACGTCTCTTGCGATGGACGGTGCTCTTTGACAGCATAGTGTCCCCATCACTACACTGGGGCGTTAGGACCCACACAGAGCACAGGGTGAGCGCCCCCTGGTGGCCACATTAACACCTCTTCCAGCAGCTACCTAGTTTCCCAGCAGGTCTCCCATCCGGGTACTGACCAGCTCAACCCTGCTTAGCTTCAGTGGGCGACCAGTCTTGGGGTGCAGGGTGATATGGCTGCGGGCCATATATTCATATTTAACATATCATAACTCCACATTTAATCCCAGATTTATAAATGCAGACCAAACAATTAAAATGTTAATTATGCAAGAAAACCTTGTGCTTTGGACATCTGAGCCACTTATTTAGACTTATTTCATTTATTTACATTTACATTTAGTCATTTAGCCGACACTTTTATCCAAAGCGACTTACAAATGAGGACAATAAAAGCAGTCAAAACTAACAAAAGAGCAACAATATATAAGTGCAAATGATATATTTATTTAATGAGTAGATTAGGCACACATTTTAATAAAGCCAAATCAGTTTTTTTTTGTAACAAGTAAATACGTTCGTTGACGTAAGACATAACCCTTAAGACACTATTTTTCGCCACCTGCTGGTGTATTTATGTAATATTGTTACTGAACGAATCTGAATGAATAATTTTGGTGAACAAACTGAAAACGAACGAATCTCTTGAAAGAATCAAAATTTCCACCACTAAAAGGCAATCCCAGAAACGCGTTTGAAACAGCCCTCGTTTACTACGTCACAAAAGTCAATAACCAATCAGATTCCTAGCATTAGCATATCCATTTGTACAAACGCGGCGCACGTTTCCCCCTCCGCTGCCTCAAGGTAAAAATTGACTATAGATCGCTGGATTACCAGCACAAAACCAAAAACAAAATAGAGCGAAAAAACCCTTGAAGCCATGGTTTATCGTGAATTTAGAGCCGCTAACTTGAATAATAACCCGCGGCAACAGTGTAAAAGCATCCAGGAGTCAGGCGCACCTCTCCCGCATTGGCTCGAGGGCACCAATTGAAGCCACAAACTTGGCTGCATTCGAGTCTTCAAGGCATTTTGAGAACACAACATCGTCAAGTAAGCAACTTTAACAACATTATTAGCTGTTTGATAACATAGTGAAGCCAATGGCTAATTATATGTGTCAGAAAGATAAAAGAAATTAGCATTCTGATACATCGACTTGTAAACGACCCTGTATAATTCTCTCTTCCTCCTCTTCTGAATCAGTTTCTGGTTCTAACATACAGTGGGTACGGAAAGTATTCAGACCCCCTTAAATGTTTCACTCTTTGTTATATTGCAGCCATTTGCTAAAATCATTTGTTATTTTTTTTTCCTCATTAATGTACACACAGCATCCCATATTGACAGAAAAACACAGAATTGTTGACACTTTTGCAGATTTATTAAAAAAGAAAAACTGAAATATCACATGGTCCTAAGTATTCAGACCCTTTGCTCAGTATTTAGTAGAAGCACCCTTTTGATCTAATACAGCCATGAGTCTTTTTGGGAAAGATGCAACAAGTTTTTCACACCTGGATTTGGGGATCCTCTGCCATTCCTCCTTGCAGATCCTCTCCAGTTCTGTCAGGTTGGATGGTAAACGTTAGTGGACAGCCATTTTTAGGTCTCTCCAGAGATGCTCAATTGGGTTTAAGTCGGGGCTCTGGCTGGGCCATTCAAGAACAGTCACAGAGTTGTTGTGAAGCCACTCCTTCGTTAATTTAGCTGTGTGCTTAGGGTCATTGTCTTGTTGGAAGGTAAACCTTCGGCCCAGTCTGAGGTCCTGAACACTCTGGAGAAGGTTTTCGTCCAGGATATCCCTGTACTTGGCCGCATTCATCTTTCCCTCAATTGCAACCAGTCGTCCTGTCCCTGCAGCTAAAAAACACCCCCACAGCATGATGCTACCACCACCATGCTTCACTGTTGGGACAGGTGATGAGCAGTGCCTGGTTTCCTCCACACATACCGCTTAGAATTAAGGACAAAAAGTTATATCTTGGTCTCATCAGACCAGAGAATCTTATTTCTCACCATCTTGGAGTCCTCCATGCGGGCTTTCATGTGTCTTGCACTGAGGAGAGGCTTCCGTCAGGCCACTCTGCCATAAAGCCCCAACTGGTGGAGGGCTGCAGGGATGGTTGACTTCTACAACTTTCTCCCATCTCCCGACTGCATCTCTGGAGCTCAGCCACAGTGATCTTTGGGTTCTTCTTTACCTCTCTCACCAAAGAGTGAAAAATGTAAGGGGGTCTGAATACTTTCCGTACCCACTGTATATGGCTTAATTAAACCAATATGTCCACTTGCCATTGTATTGTGTTTACTACAGTTCAGTTAGTGGATCAGGAGGCCCTGCCGGAGTGGCTGAGTGGAGGTGGGGCTAATTTGCATATTCATGGTTCCGCGTATAGTAAATGAAGCAAGGGTGTAGAGTTACATTCAAGCTAATTTAAGGCATGAGAAAATTATTTTCACAAGAAAAAAACAAAACATTTAAAGTCACCATGAAATCAAAATTTTAAATACTTATTTTTTAATGGAATACTGTAGTGTTTATTATAAATAATTTATGCGTGCACTTCATTATTTTTTTTAAATGCATGTGCCCTCGTAATCTTTAATCAAAAGCGTTAACCTCCCCTCCCCGTCAAAACGACTCCTCTACTCTTCCGGTCATGAGCTATGGCGCAAGGGCGGAGCTAGTGACGTGAGGGGTAAACGCTGGGATAAACGACAGGGGAAAAGCTGATGCTTCACTTTATAGCACTGACACCAGTCATGAGGATGTACGTTAACCCTAAACATTGAAAAGATATTAGGATATTACAACAACATTACTCTTAGGATATCGCAAACTAATTTTTACTTAACCTGATGGAGGACGCGCTCAGTCATTCAGGCAGTCTCTCTCTCTCTCGGGCGCGCGCTGTAGTTTAGGCATGTTTTGTGCCATTGATCATCGTCGTCATCCTTAATAAATAAAGCCTTTATTCATGCTTGGGTGTCGGCTGTGAATCCAGTGGAGAGAAATCCCAACGCCCCGCCTTCCAACGATCCAATCAATTCCCGAAGGACAAAATCAAGTCCCGCCCTCTCATTTCAGATGCCGTTTCACT